ACAACATGTTTCATATCAATTTCATGGTAAAAGGAGCTAGAAGAGATCGCTCTTATTGCCAATTTCTTTGATTGAAACAGTTTGTTTGGTCTCTAAATAGAAGTCATTATGTCCTTAAGGGGCACAAATTTCACCGTCTTCTCTATTAAAATAGTCCTCACTAGGGACCACTCCGATAGCACTCCCTCTGGAACTTCATTCTTGTTCACGTCAGGGTAGAAAAAGATCAACCGCACTGTCATCCTCCTCCTCCAATTATGAAACAACAACAAATCAAACATGGAAAAACCAAACCTGCTATCTTTCGCTAATAGCAGCAAGAGAGCATACCAATCCAAAGTAAGCAAACCAAACCAAAACACAAAACAACTCGCGACCCAAGCAAATCACCGTCTGAAAGAGCATAACCACAAACCATATATGCTTGTACCTTCTACTGCCGGAAAAATCAAAATAAACGAAGCAGCGAACGAATTAAATAAAGGAAACAAAATAAAATCCAAAAAAAACTAGCGATTTTGTCCTGTCCCAATCAATCCACACGTACGGCGGCACAAAAATCCCTATATTGAGGGGACACACCGTTATGATTAAGAGGAATTTAATTTTGTTAGGTGAAAATCAATTTTATGCATATACAAACTACGACATGTAAACGGACATGTAAATAGGCATGTACAAGTAGCATTTTTGTTATTTGTGTGTCAAATAAGTTTTGTCCTTATTAATTGCATGTGATATCGATAAAAAGTTCTATTTTTCCACAAGATGTTAATGTCACTGTCAACTCAGCTTACAAAAATAATTGTGACACAGATAAAATAGAACTTGCCGTGGGCATATAAATATCTGATGTGTACAAAAAAAAGATGTTTTCAAATAAACAATACCTATCAATTTTTTATTTTTTTACATTACACCCTTTCAAGGGCAGATACACATAGTGTGTTGGGGGCAGCTAATAAAGGTTAAAAAAAATTACAAGGGCTCACTAGAAAAATTAACAATAACATAATATTTTCCCCAATTAGAAATACTATTTGCCCGCTATAAGTAAGGCGTTTTTACTTAAATATTACTAATTTTGAACCAATTACACAAAAAGTGATCACTTTTGAAAAAGGGCAAAAAAGTGATTAAAAAGGTCATATATGTGCAATTAGAAAACATGATGTAACTGCAAAAAATTTATGTCACTGCATGTTCGTTTTTTTTGTAACTACAGCCACCACCCATGTCACTACAACTACCGCCTGTGTCACTGTAGCCACCGTCCGTGTCACTACAATCACCGCCCGTGTCACTGTAGCCACCGCCCGTATCACTATAACCACCGTTCTAACACTATAGATTTTCATATATTTGGTAAACATTATGTCACTGTCAGATTTTCATGCCAGTGTCAAATTTTTATGTCACTTTTGAATGCCACTAATGGTCTTCGTGTCACTTACGGTTGTCACTGGTGCTTGAAACATGTCACTGTGCCGCCGTCGCTGGTGTCCCTGCCGCCGCCACAGTGATGCTGCCGTAGTGACGCCACCATAGTGACACACTTCCCTCGGTAAAAATGGCACCGCCGCTGCTGGAAACCACCAGCCACCAGCCACCAGACCTCCACTCCCGGTCAATGCCAGCAACTCCTGTCACCACTCCCCGGCCCCTTCTAGCCGCCGCCAAACTTACCCCCACCCCACTGCCCTAGCCCCCAGACCCCTCCCCATCCTCCCAAGCCCCCTTCCAGCTGCCGCCCAACTCACCCCCACCGCCACAAGTTCCCAACCCTAGCTACCATGGCCCAATTTTAAACGCACCGCCGCACACAGTGGAACCGTAACCTCACAACTGTCGCCCAAAATCGACTACACATAAGGAAACGACCCCAATCGGCGAAGAAAATGCCTAGATCCAAATTCGGTGAAGAATACATCGAACCTCATCGATGTTGCCTGGACGACGGAGACAGAGTGATGATTTTGTATGGCTGTTACGCACAAGGACGAACGAGAGAAGATCAATAGGAGCAGGGAGGAGATTGATCGATGCCACAGAGATGAGAAATTGATCGATGAATAAGGGAGGAGACGACTCTCACCGTGTAGGGCAACGGTGACGGCTTGGGGATACGGTCGGCGACGGGCGATGGCCTGAAGAGATTATCGGCGATGGTGTTCTGCTCCTGGTGAGTTGCTCTGTCTACGAGCGTGAAGGTCGTTCAACGTAAGGGAACAGAAGGTCGTCATGTCACTTTTTTGGGAAATAGAATTTGGGTCATATTTTTATCTAATGAAAGTTGAGAGGTAATATTGGTGCCATTATCCATTATTTCTATAAGGATGTTTTTACTTGGACTGTAATTTGCCCCAGACCAGACCAGACCAGACCAGTCCAGACCAGACCAGACCAGTTCAGACCAGACCAGACCAGACCAGACTTGGATAGTTATAAAAATACAAAGAAACCAGACCTTACCAGACCAGACCAGACCAGTTCAGACTAGACCAGATCAGACCAGATCAGATCAGACCAGACCAGACCAGCAAATTACAGTCCAAGTAAAAACATCCTAAGTAATCGAGCGACCTAATTTAAACAAGCTAGGAGAAGGATATCGTAAATGCCTCTGTGTAACCTTGTAGCGGAAGAGTTAAAAAGGATCAATGTAATTTTCTAATTTATTAAGTGGGGTGGCTTAAATTAACAATATGAAATTTAAAATTAGATATACATTATGTAAGTGGCATTTATAAATACTAAAACTTACTCCCTCCATTCTCTATTACTTGTTTCCTTAGTGTTTGGCACATATTCAAGAGGAAAATAGTATGAGTAATTTGATAATATAGAGGGTTTATGGTAAATGAAAAAGTAGGAAAGAAGAGTATATTCAAAAGAGTAAAGTAATGATAAAGTAGAAAATGAAAAGTAGTACATAAAAAGAAAAAGGGGTGAGAGTAATAAAAGTGATGATATAAAAGTATTTTGATTGAAAAAACTTACTAAAAAGGGAAAGAGAGACAAATAATTAAAAGCGTTCCAAAAAGAAATATAAGACAATTATTAGAGAATGGAGGGAGTGTTTGTTACTCGTAATAGTTAGCACTAAGAATTGTACTTTTTCTCTTCGAGACTCTAAATGTACACTAACAATTAAATTGTAAAAAAAATTGGATTAACTGTGCTACAATTAATTTAGCTAAGTTATAAATTTATAATAGCAATAAGGAATTTTATCAATCCAAAATGTGAAAGATATACTTAGTATGAACTATCAATTCAAATTTCAAAATTGAAATGTGTCGGTATAAGAACCGAATGATTGAAAATCAATAATCTAGGACCTAAATTGTCATGAATTTGTTATTTTTTATTTTTCAAATTTAAGTATTATTTAGTTTTATTAAACTAATAAGTTTATGTGAAGTTTTGAATATTACAGAAGAACTTTTGGCATAGAGTCAAAGAGAAGAGTAAAACTATCTAGAAGAGCTAATTTATTTAGTGGGGTAGCTTAAATTAACAATATGAAATTTTCGCTATAAAGCTACACAGAGATAATAAAGCTTATAAAATTACATTCATCCCTCTATTTTAAACTCCCCCAATACTCTTCATCAAAGAGTCAAAGAGATCAACAAAGCGTCTCTCATTTTAAAGAATATTGGGATGATGTTAGTGCTTTTGGGATAGAGTCAAAGCTTATAACGGGCTCTTTACTTTTTTTTAATTTTTGTTGAGCTCTTTAGCTTTTTTCCTATTAAGTCCTCTCTCAATAAAGCGTCTGTCGGTATTAAGACGTCTGTCTGGATTAATTAATGTTTTGTATATGAAATTATTTATTTTGTGTGTTGAATAAATCATATGGATAGAGTAAATTAATCAATTTAATATGTAGTAGTATTATTAAGTTATGTTGACAATGAATAATGTTATTTACTAACCTATATCTATTACATATTAGGTATAAAAAAAGTGAATGAATAGACATCTTAATGAGCGTCTTAATGAGAATGGATGTCTTTTCACAGCTTAATGGTCAGGTCAATTTTTTTACCGAATCAATAAGTCATCCTTTTGATTAAGTCTTAAATAAATTGATTTAATGACTGGACGATTGCGTTGTCTTTCTAATTAGGTCCATTAAATCGAAAGTAAACGGCCCGTAAGAGCATCTTTAGTAACCCCATTTTCAACTTATCGAATTTATTAGTCAACTTTTTTTTTTTACATAAAAGGTAATTTTTCATTTCGCACGTTAACTTTTATAATAATATGTAATTAAAATAAACAAGATTGAATTTAATTTTCGGGCTAATTGACCTAAGTTACAATATAGAGTCATTTTAGCTATTTTCATATAAATTTTTTCTTTATTTTATTAACAAATTATAATGTAAATATAATATTTTCATAATTCAGTAGATTTAAACAATTCAGTCGCTTTGTCCCGAATTTTGTAAATTCAACAAAAACACCCGAAATATAATTTGACTGATAAGACGGGTAAGCCAAAAAAATGAGTCACCAAACAGCTCTTATTTTCATTATTTCAAATTTTTTACAGTAGTGGAAACACTTAACAACAAGTAGATTACTCTTACAACATCCCATTTTAAACTACTCCCTCCGTCCCGAAAAGGTTCGTTAACTCTGACTTTCACATGAATTAATAAAGTAAAAACTGTGGTTGAAATTTGTGCAGAAGAGAGAATTAACTTTAGTCACATATTCCTTACTTTAAATGAAAATGGCTATTCTTTTTGGGACATCCAAAAAAGAAAATTTGACAAATCTTTTCAAGACAGCGGGACAGAGAGAGTATAATTTTAAGTTTTGTATTCAATTCATTTTGCTTCAGTCCTAACTCCTAAATCCTAATACAGCCTTGCAAAAACCAGGCAGATTAGAGATTTAAAGGAGTAAAATGGAGAAGGATTAGCACCAAATAATCAATACATTTAAGATTAGCGAGTCCAATCAGTCCATGTTGTATACGAGTGAGAAATTTTAACGCATTTACCACGTCAGAACTCTTAAAAATTTCTACAAATCAGCAAGCCCCCACATATAAATTGCTTCTGTAACTAATACTATCGTATATCCCATGTGTCAAACATTCAAGATGATAAGCTCAATGAATTGACTATACTAAACATGCATAGGGAAAAGAATCCATTTAGAATTCAGAACAGAGACCAATCCTAAAGGGCAAAAAAATAAACTATTCCTAAAGGGACCCCTGGTAATTCCAATCGTCTCCAGGGACAGGTAGACACAGGTCGGCTGTGCATTTTAGTTACAAACTTAGGTTACAAAAAGTACTTAAGCAGTCCAAGAAATAAATAAAAGAGATTGAAGCCAATCCAAAGATTAAATTGATAGTTAAGACTTCCTGTCCTATGGCGGGGCAAACTTCCGCCCAATCTCTTGTGTGACACTAGAGAACACTGTACTCCATTCCTTCTGAATGCATTCCGGTACCACCCCGTGAAGACTGTGGGGTGTCCAAGTGTCTTCTGATGCGTTAGTCTGAACCCAAGACACATTCTGAGGTGGATTCTCAAAATCGAAATAGAAGGGGGTTGGCTTTGTCTCCTTTGAAGAGCTGCTCTTCTTTTGCTGCTTCTGGCTAACCACGGGGCTCTCTGATGACTGGATAATTAATTGATTACAAAAAACTGTTAAAAGTTGGAAAATGTTATTTGTACACATTTTTGTGCATATTCCATACATTTTGGTATCACAGGCAATTCGTCTAAAACTGCAGACACGGGTAAAATAAAAAATGTTCCAAACATTTTGGTATCAGGGTAAGTAAAAAAGAAGGAAAATAAATGGGAAATTGGTAAGGAAAGAAAATTGGGGGGGGGGGGGGTAAAAAATTAATTTGAATTCAACAAATCAATTTTAGATATGTGTTCAAACTCATCTTTTTTATATATTCTTTTATACAGAAACTGAAATCAAGATATATGTAAAACGCTAAATAGTTGAAACCGAATAAGTTTTTCATTTGTAATTTCCAACAAGATAAACCAAAAAAACATAGTAACAATAACATTCTCGTTGGCATTTTGTTTCTCTCCCAGTCATTCCTGAAATCCCAACTTCCTAACATAGTCTTAGACAAATATAGTTAAGGGAAAAAACAGCTATATATGGAGTGCCTGAAACAATGAATGGTTGATGTGGATCAGCAGTTTTTGAGTTAGACTTCTTACCTTGCGCGTACTTCCTGTTTCTAGGTAATGAAGCACCTCTTTGCTTGAACGGAACCTTTTTCCTGTAACTGGTTCAATATAATACTGCAGAAGCAAGAATAATCGGGTAAGGGTGAGAGTTAAAAGTGCAAACCGTTCAGTCTAAATCACCAGACATCAACCTATAAATGCATTATGCACACCCTGTGACACAACTAAAAGTTAAGATGCTCACAAGTCACAATTATTTATATATATATAAAAGATGCCACTGTGTCACAACTCACAAGGGGATGAAGCATCTGTAAATGCTTTAGAGAATAAATACATCTTGACACAGGGAAACACTGATTGAAAACCTTATGTGTCACTAGGCAGCACCGGATGTATGTATTTCAAGTTCAAATATTAGCAAGGGCATATTAATTTGAAATCAATATCTTTATAGAATTTTCGGACCAAAATATCAATAAGTTCTGATAACCCGGTTCATTACCTAAATAATAAATATGCACACAGAAAATTGGAAGCATGAACTGTAAAAAATAAAACTGTTAAGATCTTATCTTCCATTGCAAGGGGACCAAAATGTGCTTTATCTTTTAAATAAGCAAGATTTTAGACAGCGACTTTCTATAACAAGCCATACCCAAAAACATTCACAACTGGTTAAATGTTTCCGTTTGGGCAAAATTTCCTTGTTTTGCTATTAGGAATGACTTGTTTCTCATTAGAAATTCTTAACTGCATAGACATTTGTTTGGTAAAGAGAAGATTGGACTCCTTTGAGGATAATAAAAAATGAGCATGTGAATTCCAGAGGAAACAAAAAAACTGCATGAGGTGAAAATCTCATGCTCAGTAATGACCAAATTCAGATATTTAGATAGTCTTTTGTGGTTACACTGTGGAGGCTAGATCCAAACGTAATTACATCAAGAGAAACTCATATTGGATTCCACAAGTCAAATTTTAGTGACAAATAATTGGTCCTTCAACTTCTCAATCAGTTAATCCACTTCAACAGAATCAGGAGAAATTTAATCAATCACTGTATTATAGAAATACTGAACTACATGGTATATATGGCAGAATTTTTGTGAAGAAAAAAGAGGGGAGAAAATACAGCAATCAGAATTGACTAGTTACTATCACAACAACAACCAAGCCCTAATCCCAAAAGAGTTTGGGGTCAGCTAACATGAATCGACATATGAAATCGGAGCTAAAAGGATAAAAACATAAGATAAGTTAAAAAGATAAGATAAAGATAAAAAGATAAGATAAAAAGGATAAAAAGATAAAGAACGACCGGTTACTATTCTAATATAGATTAAAAAAAACATGATCAAGGATTATATTACAATGAGCACAACTCAATCCATAGGCAAATGAGCTGTTCGTAAACGGTAAACCCCAAAACTGCCTGATAAGAATCTTAATACATAACTACAAGAACAGAAGGAGAATTCAAGTGAATCCTAATTTCCTATAGTTTTTGCTTTCTTTTTAAAACCATTCATACTGTGACTTTTCTGTCCTCGCTAGAAGGAGTTATGAAATGCCCAGATAATGCATTAGCATGTAATTACTTAACTCTTTCAACAAGTTGTCTAGAAGATGCTAATTTCATTTAAGCTCAACATCTTTGACCATAAGATGGGAGGTTTAAAATTATTATGATGTCTTACGTCAATGTATTACGTAATACTTCGTATGTAATAATAATGACAAAAAAACAAGTTTATCTTCAGTAGTTGTCGATTACAAGAATGCATCCAAAGTTATAAAACAATTAAATTCGGATTTCAAACAGTGTAAGAGGCAAAGAGGACAATGAACAGCCTAAATCAACCAAAGCAGCCATACAAATAAGTTCAGAGCGCGTATGAATTCATGATCTGCTTCATAATAGAAGTGTTTATGATGAGAGAGAGCGGGGGATCACCCTATCCGTAGATCCCGCAGTAGCTCCAGAGTGGCGAACTCTGACATCCATCTTCCAGTTCTCCGGCAACCAGCTCGGACGCTCGATCGATTCCTCGGAGAGCTGCTTCCTCTTGGCTCGCTTCTGTGACGACTCGGTCGCCTGATTCTTCGCGGTGTCCGCCATCTTCCCCAGCTCCGATTCAGGCGGAGGAACTCGGGTTCGGAGTGGAGTGGCGTTGTCGACTTCAACGATGTAGGTGTCTGATTGTAGCAGCGGGTCCGGTGGCAAAAGATCGTCCGTGTTGTGGCCGGTTTGTTGTTGGGTCGGGTATGGGTTCCCCTCCTGGGTTTCCAGGTTCGGGTCCATCAACATCCACAGTGGCGAGGGAGAAGTGGCAATTTATATGAGCGTACATTTCAACGATGAGTGCGTATTTCTCTGGAACTACGACAAAGTATCCGTCCATCACACTAGAGTAAAAACCTAATATGCCTATTCATTGCTCCAAAATATTGTGTTCTACTTCTACTTTGGAATATTTTTTAGGGTAAAATACATGGTATAGTCAGCTGTACCGTGTGCATTGTACAACCGGATTTTATTGCGCCTGCGCTTCTTCAATTTGAACTTCGCACCAGGTTTTTACGCTTCAGCATCGCACAAAGCTTCGTCCCAGACTTCTTTGATTTCGCTTTCTTCTTCAATCTGACTTTGCACCAGGCTCACCGGCACCGCCGTTCACCCCCTTCTCCTTCAGTTCGCTGCTTGTCGCCGCCTCTCAGCACTCACATCTTCTCCTCCGGCATAAACGCAGCGGCTCCGGCTCCTGCTTAGTTACCTCTCCTCCTCTGTCTTTCGTTCCTCTCTTTCTTTTTCTCTTTTTCTGAGGTAGTTTTGCTGTTTGAACTTTTGATTTTGGGAAACAATGGGAGTCTAATTCATTGTTGAGGAATCATCGCTGCTATTGATCTCAAATGAGTTTTATATCAAACTCAAATGAGTATAGGCCTAAAAGAAATGAACTCACACAAATTAATATTGAATACATTGAAAATGAGTTTTATATTAAACTCAAATGAGTATATAGCCTAAAAGAAATGAACTCAACAAATTAATATTGAACACATTGAAAATGAGTTTTTGTTAAATACAAATGAGTATAACGCCCAAAATGAATGAGCATACACAAATGAGTTTCTGGACTTTTTTACTCATTTTGTAAGTTATGTATACTCATTTGGTATTAGTGCAATACTCATTTTAAAATGTCATATTCATACTGATGGAGTATATGGCCCAGGAACCCCCGGCCCATAGACTCCTACTTCTCCTACACAAGTCCTTTGAGCCCAGGGAACAACTCAGGCCCAAATACGGCGGCCCAAGCCTCAAAGTAGCTCAGAACGCACACTGGGATGCCTTCGGCTTCCTTGGCCGAGGGCTCCAGAACTCACAGAATAGCCTTCTCTGGCATGAGAAGCTACTGGGAGAAAACGGCGGAAAAAATGAGCCTTCGGCATTGTCAAGCCCTCGGCATCATAGCCTTCGGTCGCATAAGGCCTTCGGCTACCAGAGGCCTTCGGCTGCACAGGGGTCCTGGTCGCATAGAGCCCTCGGCTACACCAGGAGCCTTCGGCCAGCCACGCTCAAATCATCGAAGATTCCCTTTGGGGACAGCCAACCACCGCATTTAATGCCGCGTCACATCCGCCTGCCGCATTCAATGCGGTAAACGTACCACTGCCGGTGCCAACCGGTTGATGTGACCCTTCGGCCGTTGGATTATTGACACGTGTCCCCTCATCGCATTTATTGCTGCTATAAATAGCAGCCCATTTCTCCTTGTAATCGACATCATCTACACACCACTCCATATCTCGAGTTCATTTAATAAAATCGACTCTCTCTCCTCCTATTTTGCTCTGACTTCTCTCTAGTTATTCCCGTGATAACCCCTCGGATAAGACACCCCCCGGGTAGACAATCCATCATTTGGTGCTCTCGTTGAGAGGTCTGAACTATCAAGTAAGAAACCCTCCCCCTCTACCAAACACGAAATACTTACCAAAGATGGGAAGAACCACCCGTGCCCAGTCCAAAACCCTTGAGGAGAACCACATAGCCCCCGGCGAAACCAACGGGGCAGAGGCCTCCAACAGGCTCTTAGTACCCGAGGGTGGTATCATCCTTGAGTTGGAGCAGGCTACTGCTGACCTCCGTCAGCAACTACAGAAGAACGCCCCTGATGCCCGCATTGGCCTTGACAATCGAAGGAGGGATCGGAGTGAGAACCAAGTTCCCCCTCCGGCCCCGGCCATCGATCTTCAGGCTGCCTTTGCGGCCTTTGTTCAAAACATGGCTCTCAATTCCGGAGCCCTCGCCTCCCAGGCGCCCCTTCAGCCCCACGCTGGAGGGAATGTTATCCAACTACCACCACTCCCTCCTTTGTTCAACAGTCCTCCCCCGGGGATTGGCAATGCCGAGGGGGTCATGGCACAGGATACCGCCTCCCAAGAGGCCCAATCCAGGGACAAGCGCCCCATGATGAAAGAGAAACCCCGAACCTCTGTACTTGAGAGGCTTGGGGGAGCTCCCGGGCACCGAGGGGTCCAAGACCGCCTCGGGAAACAGGCATTCAGCAGGCCCCAGGAGAGTGGAGCTTCTGCTTCGGGCGCCGGGGGCGCGCCTCCCCCACGGAGCAAAGGCAAAGCCCTCCTCCATGCCGATGACGCCAGGCACCAGATCAATCAGGCGCAATCCTTCCGGGCCAACTCCCAAGGGGTTGCCCCGAAGGATCCCAAGGACGAAATCATTGAAGCCCTCCTCCGTCAACTCGAGGAGAATCGCCAGGCACCCCCGACGGCTTCCACAGCGAGGCCAGATCCGGAGTACGCTGACCTCCGGGCACAGATGGAGGAAATGAAACGTAAACTTGCCGAAGGCTCAGGTGAGCCCCTCATTCAGCTCCGCACTAGGACGCCTTTCACCCCAAGGGTGTTGGCGGCCAAAATCCCCCACAAATATCGGGGGCAACCTATCAAACCGTATGAGGGGAAGACGGATCCCCAGGAGCACTATAGCCGTTATCAAAACAGCATGATGATGATGGGGGCATCGGATGAATACTTATGCCGTTGGTTCCTTTCCACCTTGGAGGGACCAGCGTATGAGTGGTTCAACCGGTTGCCCGAAGGCAGCATTGATTCTTGGCAGGAACTTGCCCACCGCTTCCTTACGCAGTTTGCCGGGAGGCACCGCTCAAAGAAACACTTCTCCCACCTTCTGAATGTGAGACAACAGAAGGAGGAAACCCTTCGGAGTTTCCTGGAACGCTGGAGGCAGGCCTCCCTCGAGGTCGAAGGCGCTGATGACAGGACACTAATGGCCCTCTTCCACACCGTCCTCCGCAACGGTAACTTCTCCCGGAGCCTCATTACTGATCCCCCCCGCGATTATACAAAGGCCCTTCAGCGGGGGGACCGATACGCTGAAGCGGAGGAAATCGAGAAGGACCGCCGCAACACGGACCCCTCTCAGAAGAATGAAGGCAGGAACCGGCACGGAGGGCCTCCCCCTCCGACCAACCGAGAGCCACAGTACAACGATCGCTCCCGATGTGGCCAAGCCAGACCCGGGGGCGGTTACAAGAATAATCCGAAGGCATGGGCGCAACCCGTACTCCTTGAGCACCCACGCACTCCCCTGACGCACCCCGTCAGCGTCATTCTTGATCATGCAGAAGAGCGAGGGCTCGTGGAGCGAGACTCCCGCACACCCCTCGAGATCTATGCCATCGGCCCTGATGAGCCCTATTGCCGCTTTCACCGCCACCATGGACACAAGACCGACGACTGCCATCAGCTGAAGAACGCCATCGAGAGGCTGATACAGGCGGGCCACTTATCTCAGTTCATCAGGGGCCCTCCTCCCCAGGGCCCCCCTCATCATCAAGGGCCTCCGCCGAAGGCTAACAAATGGGTGAACCCCAACACCATCCCCTTGGGAAACCCACAGGGGAAGAAGCGAGAAATTGGGGGCCTCGACGACGAGGGAGAGGGCTCCCATCAACAATACAAGCGCCATATTCATATGATCAACGGCGGCAACACCGGAGGCGATTCAACGAGCCAAAGGAAGAAGTGGGCACAGTCCCTCTACATTGGGGAGGTCAATCACATGCCCCCTACTAAGAGGCCGAGGGCGGATCCCATCTTCTTCACAGATGCGGACCTCCCCTCGGGCTCCCTGCCGCATAGGGATGCCCTCGTCATCCGCACTGAGATCAATAACGCCATCATCCACCGGACTTACGTTGACACAGGGAGTTCTGTCAACGTCATGTATCTCAGCACTTTTCAAGAGTTGGGACTCGACAGGGGGTCCCTCCGACACATCAACACCCCCCTCTCCGGATTTACGGGGGACAGCATAGACGCCGAGGGCGTCATCACCCTCGTTGTTGAGTTCGGCGACGGATCCCATAGAGCCAAGCTCGAAGTGGAATTCGTCGTCGTCAACCTCGACTGCGCACACAACATCATCCTCGGCCGGCCCGCCCTCGAGGATTTGGAAGCCGTCATCTCTATGAGGCATCTCTGCCTCAAGTTCCCCACACCCACCGGCATCGGCTACTCGAGGGGGAATCAAAAACTCTCCAGGGCCTGCTACCTTCAACTCACCAAGAAGGTTAGTAAAACAGAACTACGTGTGGACACCATCACCACCAGGGCCTTGGAGGAAGAAGAAGGCAGGCCGAGAGCTGAGCCTGCCGAGGAGACCGAAGACTTGATACTCGATCCGGCCAAGCCGGAGAGAGTCCTGAAGATTGGAGCCAAGCTCCCCGAAGACTTGAAGGCTGGCATCACCAAAGCCCTCCGCGCCTACTCCATTGTTTTTGCATGGGGGCCGGAGGATATGCCGGGAATTGACCGAAGGGTCATCACCCACCGCCTAGCGGTGGACCCTTCGGCCAAACCAGTACAACAGCGGAGAAGACCCCTCTCGGCCGAGAGAAGGGAGTTCGTGAAGAAGGAGGTAGCCATGCTCCTCTCCATCAAACATATCAAGGAGGTGAAATACCCCTCTTGGTTAGCAAATGTAGTCCTTGCACAGAAGCCTCCTACCTTCCGCATGTGCGTGGACTACACTGATCTGAATAAGGCGTGCCCTATGGACCCCTTCCCTCTGCCAAACATTGATCAACTGGTGGATGAGACCGCGGGATGCGAAATCATGTCCTTCCTCGACGCATTCCGCGGGTATCATCAAATCTATATGCATGAAGAAGACGCTGAAAAAACTGCCTTCATGACACCCGAAGGCATCTTCTGCTACCTCGTGATGGCCTTCGGCCTCAAGAATTCAGGCGCCACCT